AATATTATCAAAAAGCTCTTTCCCCCATATTTAAACCACAAAAAAAAAAAAAAAAAAAAAAAAAAAATTATTCAGTGAGCGCATTCAGTTTCATTAGTCTCGCGAGAGAAAATGCGTCGTTCTTCGAGCAACTTACTACGTATAGTCCGCTAGTTTACATCATTACATGAATATATTTTGCTTCATCTCGTCTTACTTCAATAACGATTACACGTATATTTCAAGAAGAGATAAGCGAATTAACATACCAATCTGCATACCTGTCGAAAGATAGAGAACGTGCAAGAAACATACTCGTCATAAATTCTTGCATGACAAGAAAATATACATATTTTTGATTCGTTCACCTCAATGTTCACGCATTAACACGCTTTAACGCAGTTAACGATCCACGAAGAGGATCTAAGATTTCCATTAAACAACTTCGAGAAGAGATGCTCGGGCGAGTTTTGAAAAATACGGAGATTAACGCTATGATTTTTAACTCGATGATGTTTTCTATATAGTGGCGTTATATATGATCGGAAATGCATCATCAACGTGCATTTGTATCGGTACGCTTACGATATTCCACGCTGCGGTCATGCAAAACCGCACGTCATTCCTCCACATTTGCCACACACTCGGGTTAGATTGCGTTTCTTCTTGCGGCATATTTGCCGCAACTTAAAATGGCGCGCTTTTCAGGAAGAAGCACGCAATACGCTCTCTCGGAAGATACGTCGGCAGTATCGAATTACCAATACATATACAATATCTTCAGAGTTATATTATTGCACATACGATAGATTGTAAACATGCCGATCGAAAATATTTTTGCTCCATAAAATAAATTTGCATCGTTTGTTTCATGATATTACACTGTTGACGATAATTGCGATAATTCAAGCAACACATGAGGCGTGTGATTTAGAAGCGTAAACACGAAATTGCTTTTTTTTGCCCATTCATTCGAGTTGTGACGTATTGATCCGACATTAAATTTAATATCGAAGCAAGAGAGCGTATTGCGTGAAATGTTAATTGCATGTGTAATATCGCTTATATATTCCGCATAACGGAATCATTTCGTACGTTTCATCTGATACTCGTAGAGTCGTAGATAATTACCTTTGGCTTCGATAAATTAATGCTAATATCATATAAATGACTGAAACGATTATAAATCGTTTTGTCAGCGATGAATTTTAGTATAAGATTGAGATAAGATATATTTACATTATGTATGTATACCGATGTTATCTTTCGATATTTCGAGCGATAACTAATGAACAAAGAATTTTGAATTTAAATCCAGAAAATTTCACGGTGACAAAATCGATAGTCTCGTCTTTTCGATGCATTTGTAACTCATGTAATCTCAGACTTATTGTTGACGAGGTATAATTAAATTAGAATACGTTCTATTATTATTGACTAAATTTTTATAACTTATCGAAGCTTAGGTAATTTTAACGTGCGAAATGATTTCAATTCACAATATTATATTACGTTACACACTAGCTCACACTTTAATTCGGTTAACAAATTAAAATACATATACTTATTAGTCGTCAATGAATTTTTACGACCATTTGCAGTATGTCAACCGAATCTTTCCATTAATTACAGTCTATCAGCTATGCAATAATTATCAGGCATGCAACATCAACGACTGTTGCGAAATCACGAAAAACCTAATAATTACTCGTAAACGCTTGTGATTAAATGGCACGTCCATCCCAATAATTTCATACTCCCATCGACATTACGAGTGTTATTGACTCTGCGATATATAAATTCCTGCAATTTAACTTCTGCATTCAACATAATGTAATAATAATAACGTAATAATATTTTTATATAATATTCGTATATATATATATTTCTACATAAAACCTGCGAACTAATTATCTACATATTTTTTTTCCGTCAAAATGTACAGTACATTTCTTTTGTGAACGGTCGGAAATGACGCTATCGCGTTGCGCGACGTTAATTGAATTTCTTTTTTCCATTAACCCGTTGTCCCGTGCACGAGGGAAATAAGACAAGCCGATGCTCTTATCGCAAATGAGATGAGAATAGGTGGTACACGGCGTTACATACACCTACGCGGCCTCGTTCGTATATTAAAAGGTCAAGCACGTTTGTTCTTCCACGTTGGATTCGCTAATGGTACGGCTGACGTTGGTCACGCCAACTGTAAACACATTCCACGTAATTCACATGCGCGTAATAACTTCAACGGACGCCAATATATTTTAGCACACTTTATTGAATATTCGATTTAATAATTCAAAGAAAAATATAAATAAGATATAAAAATAAGATTATTTAATATTTCAATCCTTGTTCGAGTTATTAATTGGAATATCACGCTCTATTATAGAACTTATGCATGTATCGAAATATCTTCTCGTAATGATGTACGACAACATTTATCATATAATTGTCGTCTCGTCTTGGTAAACAGCAATCTAGTCGGTGTACGCGCTATTATAATGCAACCTGCTATGAGTTCAGCCTTGTCGCGATGTGTTATGCAATCCTTCGTGTCGATTATGTGTTCGTGGCACATCATAACGAATGTTCTGCAAATGGTTTTGCGCATTCAGACAAGGTTTGTATTAAGTTGTATTGTTCACAAAGTTGTAATTCATTATAACTTGAACCTGACTTGATGATGTAATAACTATTTGAAGCCATAAACAGAATTTGAATTATTATGTTTTCTTGCAAAAGGATTAATTATATTTTGAAATTCAAATATTTTGTAATCGAAATCCTATTAAGAGAATAATAATAAATTTTTCAACAATCTTTCATGCTTTATTAGTTCATAAAACATGGATTAATTAAAAGCTTTAAAACAATAATTAAAATTACGTTATAAAATAATATTTTATTTTTTCGGCTAATAAATTTCATTTGTGACCTCTCAAATATTTACGTACAAAATTTCACGATTAAAGCGACTAAAAAAAATATTGAGATCTCTCGGAATTTGTTGATGCGAGATGCGACGAAGAATGTTGAGAGCGACTGGAATTTTAATTAAGCGATTGCAACAATGATAATTTTCCTTAAATATGTCATATTTCCAAGAATATTAATGCAAGAATCCTGACCTGAAATTAACACAGTCGTCGCACTCGGCATGCATTACGAGATGAGATGATTATCCATGCGAGCGTATATAGTTACGATTACGCAATAATTGCGTGACCGAGAGATATGAATGTGTGACGTGCACTTGTTGCCGACTATGTGACCGTCATGTGCGCAATACCTGTGCAATACGTGCGTGCATAAACGGCACCCGCGACATTCGTGAACTATGGCGACGTTTTGTTCTCGCGTACGCGAGCAAATCCGTGAATAGCGTACGATATGTGGACAGTATTCAAGAATTTACCGGGTGATATTTTCGAAACGGACCATACGTCCCGACTGTGCCGTTATAGTCCAATTAAATATAAATAAATATAAATTCACCAAAGCCACGCGAGGTTCAAAATGTATCGTAAAAGAGAAATCTTTATATTTGAAAATCAATTTCCAAAATTAAAAATAATTAATATATAATATGTATACCATTTTTCTATTGAGATTTTGTAAATCAGAGAAATATTTTTTAGATATAATCAGATACATTTTATTACTAGCTCGTTTAAAAGTAATAAGTATTTATATTCAGTAATAATAATTATAAAGTTATAATTACACACATTATTATATAATAAATATATTAAAATTAAATTATTAATTAA